ATAGAATTCAATGTAACAAAATATAATAACAATATATTATAATCTCCTGGATACGAATTACTAAGAGTGAAATCCGTAGCTCTTACTGATGGCAATCGAAACTGATATGCCCGCACTTTTTGCTGAGTATTGAGATTTACTTTAAGGTACTTTCTTGGATATTTGTTCTTTCTAATATATGTGGTATAATGGTCGTATGCTAATACGGTTAATTTATTTTTACCCTTTCGCTTTCTGTTATGTGTTGTTCCCTCGTGTTCTCGGAAGCCTAATATTGTTTGTTAATAAAGGAAAGTAAGAGTGATCCGGGAATGCGTGTATTCCAAAATGCCAGAAAATTGGTTGACGAAAGCTGAACATTAAATGGCTACTGTTACTGTAGACGTTGTTAGGGACAGCCTATAAATATAAATAATTTTATCGATAATTAGGTTACGTGTTTGTCATTTTGTTTTTGAGTTACTATTACGTGACCTCGTGTAGACCCGCCTTGTATCTTGTCATTGCTAAGTGATCCACCACAGAGGTTAGTACCTGCATTGTTTATCGTGTGTTGATCTTCGTGTTGATATAGTGATGGCTTTTTTGGTGATATTTAATACTATTATATTAATTTCTATTTGTGCGTTATATTTATTTGTTAGAGTTCCGTTAATTCAAGTCCTTAATATGTATTTATTCGTGTTTTTCAGCGGGACTCCGATCTTAGGACATTTTTACGAGTTGAAAGTCAAGGGCTGGAAAGATACACGGTTTATAGTTTTGATATATGTTTTCTTGTATTTATCATTCATTTATTATTATAGTTCTTAACTTATCAGTTTTTGTTCATCCTTTATATTTGCGATCATTGGCCAAGTGTTCGGGGTCAAAAAATACTATTTATTGATTAGTCCCCAGCAACGTCGTCTTTAAGTAATTTTTATTTGTAAGTACACTTGGACCTTATTAAATTGTTTTCAGCACACGTTGATAGGTGTGGTTTTTTGTGAGAACGGGATGATAATTTCCATGTGCTCCTATTGTGTTGTTCAAAGTGAAACATTCTCGTTTTTGCTTGGTTCTTGTCCGGTCAAATGAAAAAAGCCGTAAACAGAAAGAAAGTAGAAGACGAAAAAATATAACTCAGTACTCACTGCAGTGAGTGACAGAGAGCGCATTTTCTCGTCGACGAAAACTTGAGGTCACGGACGGTCGGACAGACGGACGGACATGGCGAGCACAATAGCGCATTTTTTCCATAAATGAGAAAATGCGCTAAAAAGTCTAAAGTGATATTATATATTATCCTCCAGTTCAATTGCGCCGAGCTTGGTATGAAATAACGTAGCGTTACTGAAGAAAACTGCAGCGAACTGAAGAATAAGGAAAAGCCTTCTTGGCAGCACTGCTGGCCACACATTGCTCACCGAGCCTTGGTATTCCTGCGATAGAACTGCTGCATTATAGTGTATTTGGTATCGGGCTTCGCAGAAAAATTGAAGTCCCCGACACGCAACAAATAACGCGTACGTGTTATCGAGGATAATTTTCTGAGAATTATATTCAAACTCTAGAAAACTTTCACGGGAAATTTATTTTAATACCGATAAGAGACGCGTCTATTATTTTTGAAAAAGTTTGCACACATTCTAAACTAGCTTTAAATTGCTTGCATGTGCTTTAAAAGGCGATTCAAATTTATACCTAAATAAAGATGTATTTTGGCGCGTTTTAGGTGGCCTTCCAAAGACCGTTAATTGGAATAATTGGCTCTCCAATTTTTTGTTCACGCCGCTCGTAAATTTTTCAAAGGGAACGCAGTCAAATTTCCATCAAAGCTTTGCATGAGATGCAATCAGCAAATCCTTTACGCAATGATTGTGATTATCGCCAATATAAGCTTACAAACGAAGCTGATGCGCTACGCATTAACGCGCTGCTACAGCACGAGTGAAACGTAATTATGAACGATTTTTAATCACCCATTCATTGTACCGTTCGTAATATTCCAGTTTAAAAACGTTATTTTTGTACTGTTCATAATGCAGCATAACAATGAACGTTATTCATAAAACATTGATAATTCTCCTTTCTATTGAATGCAATTCGGTACTAGTTTTTCCAGTCGCAACTGAAATATTTTATTGACCTCCTCTGACGACAATTTTGGCCAGAGGAGGTCAATTTTGGTTTGCTCAATAAAACTATTCAAAAGTTTGGAAAAGTTTTTAAGCGTTATTACTATAGCATGTAAACGAAACCCAAATTGATTTTTACGCACATATTTTATATACATTACAGTAAGTGGAAGGGATTACAATAGGAATCGTGTAATTATTCGTTTGGGGTTTTGAATCATAACTGATGTGACCTCGCCTTTGAAAAGGATTTTACTGTGCATTGTTTCGAGGTCTACACAGGCTAGGGGATTGCATTGCTTCTGTTCACTTGTGATAATAATGTGCGTGTAAATGTAGAGGTGTTTAAATAGCTGTCGTAAAGTAATAGATTCATATACATGTTCTTTATTCATATTTATTGGATGTTCGGTTCCAAACGGAGTGTTTATGTAATCATCATTAATTCTTGATATTGGTTTGTTTTATTCTATAAAAAGGTGCCTTAATTAGAGTCCGAAGTTAGGATATGAGCAAATGATGCCCACAATTTTATATTATTGTAATTAGTTGATTTATTATTATAGATTTAATTTATCATTTGCATTCTTACTTTATTTGCGATCACTGGCTAATTATAAGGGGCACTATAGTTATTTTCTAGAGTATCTACATTGAGAAGTGCATGAAGAAACATGTAGACCTTTCAATGGGATACCCAAGTATATTGGACTATTACTGAGGACATTTACTGAAGACAAGTTCTGGTCTATTACTGAGACGCCCAGAATAAATAAATGACAAAAACGAACATGTAATAATGAATTGAATTAAACATGAATTAATGATCGACAAGACAAAAATGTGACTATCAAAATGATACTTGAATATTTATACACAGAATATACACGCATGAATACATAAGAACTAGCTTATGACCTAACATTCATAATTCATTCTTCCAATTTACATAAGACGTATCCTACACATCGACTGCAAACAGAAGACTAAACTGGCTTGCACGATTCTGCCAAGATCACGGCAAACTCTGATGACGAAATTAAAATTAAACAACCTGTTCAATCCCTAACTTCGCCGCCCCCCAACCAGTTTTATCCTCAGTGACACTCAGCTACACGACATATTACTAGTCGTAAATTCCCCAATTTATCATTGATATACCTGATCGACTTGACTGTAGCTTCCTCTGTTAACCGATACGTCTTGCCTTGCATGCACATCACCTGTTTAACTTTAATTCCTCAACAGTCTAAGCTTGCTAAGCTTGCGACGTTCCAACTTAGTAAAATGTGAGGTCATCATCCGAGCAATGAGCTCTCGCAGGACTTTGAACTTCTAAGCTCCCCCCACTTCGCGACTGTTGCAATCCATATACCTAATTATTGCAGTTAAGTAAAATATCTCCAAATCGGATATTGTCCTCTATTATATAACTCAAACAGCTTAATCAACTGACAACCTTGCTTATTTCCATCTGAATATTTACAACCATACGTGGTTCCCGAACCCCAACTAACTGCTCATACTTAGTTATCTTAACCACTCGGCCGTCCGAAGATTTTCCATTAAAACAAATTCTATTGCTTTATCACCCCTTCGAATTAAAAATAATCGTGCAAAAAAGAGGGCACGTTCATGGTCGATTTGAGCCTAATTGGTGAACCCTAAGTCGTTATATGTGTTCTCATGGCAGATTTCAGCCTTAATTGTCAACCTTGCATCGTTACCGAGCGTACATGATGGAGTTGAGCTTCATTGGTGAACCCTGAGTCTTCTTGCTTGCGTTCATGTCAGCTCATAGCCTCATTGTGAACCCTGAATTTAATTCATGTGTTCATTGTTGATTTTAGCCTCACCAGCGAACTTCAATTTTTTTCTAAGAATATCTTCTGTATTTATGGAATTTTTTGTTCAACAACGAATACATCGCATCGAGTAATTTGAAATTTACGAATCTGTGTTCCTTCTTCGACAATTTCTTCTCTATTTATTCATATGCATTTCCAATGAAACTCGACTCAATTTCCGAAATCAGGAACATTAGTTATTAATGTACGCAATGAAAATATAATTAAAGGGCATTGTACCTTCCCTGAAAAGTTTAAATTTAGTATAGCTACAATTCAATTGCATTCAAAACAGAGTCAAAATAAAATATATATACCACATTGGTGACTTAAGACTTTATATTAATTACGATAATATCATTGGTGAGCGATCATATTTAATTAAGATTCAACTCGAAAAATTATATTCAGTTTAATAACACAGCTCGATCTTAAATTTGAAGGTCAAACGAATTTCTTAACCTAAATAAAGAATAAGCTAAGAAAACAGCTTGTAATAATTTAACTTATTGCAATAAGACGACAAATTAGAGTCCAATCCAATTATCTAATCTGGTGAAGCGAAAGGAAACTGTAACCAAGAGCAGCTTCGGGGGACCATACTTTTAAAACTCGCTAAGTGAACGTAAGTGCTATTTCTATTTTCTTCTATTTTCTTGTCTATGATTGGTGGATTTTGCTTGAAAGGCCGTCAATGATTGGCTGATGAACTTACGATCTCTTAACTGTTTTTAAAAGAGTGGCTTGAAAGGCCGTCAATGATTGGCTGATGAACTTACGATCTCTTAACTTTTTTTGAAAGTATAGGCCCAGGCTGACCTTCAGAGGTGGACGATAAGCGCTGCACTTGATAAGATTGCAATGCAATATTGCTGTACGTGTTCCATTTTCTAACTTTAAACGCAATAAGATAAATATATAAACGCATGAAATAAGTATTATACGCAAGAAATAAGTAATAAATAAGGTAAAAATTTCATTTATTTTAATTTAAAAACATTGACATTTTTCATTTCTTATTTTGTGAGATATTTCGGATGCGAAATTTGTTACTTAAAGACTGAAAACATAAATCGAGTAATGCAAGAATCTCTTACCCTTGTAACTGATTGAGGCTTCTATACACTTGAAGTTCAGTTCCTATGTTATACTCTGAAAATTATATATAGAACTCCAGCTCTTTGCTTTTATTTCACAATAGAATAATTTTGGTGGAATAGTTGTCGCTAAACACTACTCGATCTTTTACGAAAATAGTTTATCTTCTGCCACGATGGACCGACTTGCAAGAAATTTTATGTTGACTTTTTTAATTTCTATCCTTTGCTCCGTAGAATTGGAATATATTTTTCTGTCTATGATTACTTACTCTTACTTACACTAAAACAGTTAGCGTCATCAGAGAGATACTATACTATTTCCAGCTGCGCTGTCACAGGTTAAATGTAACAACAGAAGTAAACGAGTTCGTTCTCATTATATATTATATATGCACTGCAGTTTACGCTTCACCGCTTCACATCTAGCGATTCCATTGAGAAAGTTCATATATCTGTCCATCATATATAATTCGTTTCTCTTACAATAGTAATTAGATAACTAGCCTAACAATGAGGCTTTAACGTCTTCCATGAACAGGCCGGTGGTCTTGTTCTGTACTCAACAATAACCACCGATAGTTCGGCGTCAATTTTATATAATAATTTTTTTTAATATTTCTGGTGGCTGCTTAAATCGGGGTTTCCTGGCTCGGAGTTTCCTTTGAATTCCATCTGTTTCTTTTGTTTGCTTTTTCTCCACACAGTTTCGGTTTGTTCAATAGTTTCGGGTAAAGGCTTTTTGTTGGTTTCTGGCAAGAGATAAACCAGAGCTGCCGAGACGAGACCAAGGCCGCTGTAGAGAACCACTGCGCACCACTGCTTCTCTGCCGGCTAGCAACAGAAATTGATGCACATTTTTTTATTGGAGACACTATTGGATTACTCAACTATTTGTTTAGATACGAAATCTTATTTATTTAGTGAAATTCAAACCAATATTTCACACAACAGCGAGAAAATTTTGTAAATTAGAAGCAAACAGAAACCATCGCCTTTAATGTTGTCGAGAGTGACACGTGTTAATACATGCAGGAAATTCCGGCACTTTGCTGACCAATGCAGCGCTGACGAACGGAGGGATGCTGTAGCCTACGTTATTCATGACGTAGTTAATGGAGGTGCCCAAGACTCGAACTTCAGTAGGGTAAAGCTCGCTCGAGTACATCCAGTTAACCTGATGAGAAAACATTGCCGTGCACGAAATGAAAAATATAACTTGGCTCATGGTATCCTGAAATTAAATACCTCAATATGTTTTATTTCTAGTTTTGTTTTCTCACCATATGGAGATGAAATTTATTTCCAGCCTATTTAATTAAATTGTTTATGAATACGAGTAATGGTTAGTAAAAATTTTAGGACCCCTTTGCTGAATATTCTAGCTAAAGCATGCAGTGCATACATTGAATATAATTATAAGTATTAAGGTTTTGATATTAAAACAAATATTTATTTACTTCGGATTCAAAATTTTTTCAGCAGGAACACAATTTATTATTATACAGTGCACCGTATGCAATAATCTCTAATAGAAATGCATGAGCTTTGTGCCTTTGGAACCAGAAGGAGGAGCATTGCGAGAACGTATCTTTGATACTTCGTAAGGGAATACGTATATAATTAAGGAGATAACGCATCGAAAAAAAATATTTCCAACTAGAAAATCATGTGACATTTGGAAATGGAATGGACTCCTATTAATATATTTTTTACGATATTTTAGGAGTAGGTGTAAATTTCAGGAGTGAAGTTTGAATTTTTTTCCAAACAATAAAGTTCAATTTTCTCTTAAATTTCACAGCGGAAGTTGTATGGAACTACCATAACAAACAGGGACCTGAAGGAGGCATTCTTGACTTGACGCAGCCTTAGTTGGGAGGGCAATTAAAAGCGGTACTACGGAGAATGAAATTATAAAATTTTCAATGTTTTCTATTCCGAACACCACCAGGTACTATTCATATTTGACAAATAATTTGTATATTTATACAGAGATAAACCAAATTTAAATGATCAATGAATATTCATAGGAACTGCAAGCATAGCTCACCTGGAACGTAGCGCAGAGCAGCATGTACGCCGAAATCAGAACCACGACCGTCGGCCAATCTGTGGACAAATTTTGATCTGAATTCAATTTCCCTATTTTATTGGTCATTGATTGAGAAATGAATTGATCAATATTTTTCTTGACTTTTTATAAAAATTTTCATCTTACGCCGCTGTAATTTCATAATTAATTTTATCCTGGAATTCCAACTGATAATTCATAGAAAACATTTATCCTACAAGGAATAAAAGTGTTTCTCAGTTCAACTCCACCGTGAGCGAGCTGCAAGAACTCGAGCGCCACCAGGCCCAGGAGGAGCAAGCAGCTCGTCACCAGCAGTCCAGCGATGACGGGCCGACGTCCAAATTTTGTCGTTAAAGGAGCCGGGAAAATGTATGCTGGGACCTCAACGATACCAACCACGACCATGTAGACGAATGGAGACCTGGCAAGTCGATATAAGTACTCTCAATCATACATAAGTCAAGGACTTTATGCCATAAACTATCATTCAACGAAGACTGCCATTATATAAGGCACCGATACATTTTATCAATAGTCGATATAAAAACCCTCAACCATACATAAGTCAAGGACATCAGCGAATGCCGTAGACTATTATTCAACGAAGACTGCCATTATTTTAAGGCACGGAAACATGAACATTGAACAGTGCTCGAAATTGGAGCAATCAGCGCCTTCAGCAATCAGTGCTCGAAACTGGAGCAATCAGTTTCGAGCACTGTTCAATATTCATGTTTCGGTACATATGCATGTAACCATAGTGATAAATTGAAACTTGAGTGAAAGAGTTAGCACATCCATCAACAGTAATTACTGCAATAACCAAAACCGGGGTAGATATCGGAGTAATAACTACCCGATTCTTTCACCACTCACCTTCTAATATCAATAACACTCTACTATCTGCTATTTCTCTAGCCACTAACCACTTTTCTTTTGCCAGCTTCATTGATCTGCGACGAAGAATACTTTTTCTTGTTCTATCGCCTCCCATGCACCATTCCCTTACATTCTACCCCTCACAATTACCATTGATATCCAACCTTGAGATGCATACACTGCTACTTAGCCTACTCATCGATACCACTCAGCCACTGCCACCGCTCATTAGGTACTACTGATTCACCGTCACCACTCGGCCACTGTCACCACTCGTTAGGTACTACTCCCTCACTGTCACCACTCGCCCACTGCGCCCACTGTCACCACTCTTTATAGATACTTCTTCTCACTGTTACCACTCGACCATTGTCACCACTCGTTATAGGTACTTTCTCACTGTTACCATTCAGCCACTGTCACCGCTCGTTATATAGGTACTTTCTCACTGTTACCATTCAGCCACTGTCACCACTCGTTATAGGTACTTCTTCTCACTGTTACCTCTCAGCCACTGTCACCACTCGTTATAGATACTTCTTCCACTGTTACCACTCGACCATTGTCACCACTCGTTATAGGTACTTTCTCACTGTTACCATTCAGCCACTGTCACCACTCGTTAGGCCACCATCACCACTCACCCACTGCTATCACTCTGTAGGGGTATTATCATCACAAGGATGCCGATGGTAACAGTGATGATGGTGCGCACTGCCATCATCTTCAGCATGATGGTGGAGCTGAACAGTCGCCTAACACTTGCCAGCTGGCCCTGCTGCCGCACACTTCGCTTGCACTCGCTCTGAGGAATTGTAATGTAATGTTATGTAATGCACTGTAATTTAACGTAATATAATGAAATGTAATGTATTGTAATGTAATGTGACGTATTGTAATATTTTTTAATGTTATGTAATGTAATGTATTGTAATGTAATGTGATGTGTTGTAATGTAATGTAAAGTATTGTAATGTAATGTAATGTAATGTAATGTGATGTATTGCAATGTAATGTAATGTAATGTTATGTTTTGTAATGTATTGTAATGTAATGTAATAGCGGTTTAGACTTAGACTCGCTCTGTGGGATTGCAATGTAACATAATGTAATTTCAGCGTTGATTAGGCTGTAGTCCTGTCGCCAATTCCTAACATCGCAGAAAATTCTCGGCTGTTTGAGGCCTCGAACACGCAACTCACTGCTCCAATTATGCGGTTTTAAACCGCCCGGCCTCCTCGCCGTTTCTGACCAGAACTGGCGCACAGAGCTGGGATCGAACCCGCGCCTCTCTGCACCAATCCTGGTACTCTGAACTGTAACCACTAGGAAGTGTAGTCATTTTATTGAACGATTGAAGACGATGCAATTGTAGCAATAATCGAAGGAGGGGCAGTAAAATTATCTTATTTATAAACTAAATCTAAACCAGTTTTTAATCGAACAAAATTTTATTTGCCAACAAATTCATAGGTTCTTTTATGTAGTTATATTTTGGGTAATTTTTAAATGAAAATCAGTTGGGTTACGTCTCTCATTCTTGATAAACCGAGGAAATTCAAGAGGTTGTCAACTTGAAAATTGTTAAATTTATATCCATCTTTGGCTTTTACCAAAGTAGGCCGATAACTGGCATGAGTCAGAACAAAATTTTATAGCAGCATTCCCAACATGACCATGAGTGTGCCGCTAAGACCTCCACCAACTGCATGGCGAGGGTTGAGTAAATTATGCTACCTCGACCTTTGTACATACTCGTACTTATAACATAATTATCATATAGCTTTCATATAGTCATAATGTAGTTATACTATAGTTTTCATATAATATTCATATAGTCATCAGGTAGTTATAGTCCGATGACTATATGCTATGCATACAGAATTCGAATTTTTACACTGTACCTTTCCACTAAATGGGTTTCAGTCGCAATTATATAGCATATACTGAAATTAAAAATTTTTGTCTAAACAATATTCCGAGGTTGATCTCGAACATGACAATTGGAATGCTGTTCATTGTTCGTTTCCTTACTTTGGTCCCGCTTCGGAGACTATGGATAAGGAGTAGAAAGTATTGTTCTCTAAATACCTCACAAATGTTAATATTCATATATAACTGGTGTATAATTTTAAAATCATTTCTTTTTTCAGGTATAAAGACGCACGCCCTGTTTTTATGCGATCGTCACTAGTTTATCAATATTGTTGTGCGCCGTGCGTGTCTGCATATGTCGGTATGACATCTCGTAATTTTTATACTAGGCTGGCGGAGCATAAAGAAAGGAGTTTTAGAACAGGAAACCTGCTTGCGCATTCCCCTCATTCAGCAATACGCGTTCATGCCGAGCAGTGCAACATCCCGGTATCCGATAGTGATTTTAGAGTTTTAGCCTCCACAACCGCTTTTTCTGACCTGCGAATTTGAGTGTCTCTGTACATTTTTAAACAAAAGCCTAGTCTAAATGCCGCTTACAGTTTATATCCCCTCGAAATTTGAAATAGATAGGTTTGTCTGCTCATGCTTACCTCATTCTTGTTTGTTTTCATTTGATAATTTATGTTTTAATTTCTTCAATATGAATTTTAGTTTGCCTTTTGTTTGTACTTGTGTTTTAGGTTTTTGAACTGACGATGGGGTCCGAAACGTTTTCTCGCATAAGAAATGGTGAATTATCTAATTGTTATTATTTTGCGTTTACATTTTTGATGAACGTGTGATAAGTAATCAAACGATCTTTCTTAATTCAGTGATATGCGTTTTCATTCCCTATAATTTTTTGTTTTAATATGGAAACTGTTGTTTTGATCAACTCATAAATTATCTCATTTATCATTTCTATTTGTATTCTTTAGTCATGATGAATGAATGATTCCATTACATTAATACATTAGAGTTTTGAAAAAAAACTATAAATTTAACAAGTGAATTGGCTGTCATCGACTTGCTAGATTGACTGTCAAGTATACAACTGTTTAGGAGCGTTATGTGACTGAGCTAATGATGTCGTTTAAATGATGATAGAATTTTTTGGAACTTCTCTCAGTTGTTCATAATTAGCGAAACTGCTTAGAAAATTCTTCTAAATGTTTAAAAAATTTGAACTTTTTTTCAACAAAAAAACGTTATTATAATAATGGCGGAGTCTTTGTAAAAATGAAGCATCTGTTATTTCAGACCGTGACGGGTTTCGTTTTTTGCTGCTCAATATTTTTGATAAGAGCTGTACGGGAGCGAGCTCAAATCACGTGGCTGAACTGAGGTCAGCCCGTCGAGAGTTTAAATCAGTTCAGTTCATAGGAAGTTGAATATGAGTGAAGTTAGTGAGTTGAGTTAATTATAGTTAACCTGATAAACACGAGCTATAACGTGGCTGAGATTAGTTGGGAGTTTGTGTTGAGTTTTATTGAGTTGAGCTGCCTTCCTCAACACTGCTTCAGCCTCAGCAAGACGACCCTGCAGCAGCAGCCAGCGCGGCGATTCGCTCAGCACCCTGGACAAATATTAGCATAAAATTTGCTAATTGCAATGAAACTTTCGTCAGGAGTTATAGATGACTAAAAAGTATTGTAATTACAACAAATACGTGAACGAACATTCAGGAAATATGAATGGAACCCGCGAATTTCGTATACTTACATTTATGTTGATATTGTCACATCACAACTAATATTTCTCCGTCTCACCACAACCAACATTCCTGCATCTCACCACAACCACCACTCACCAAGGGTTAGCTACGACGAGCCGTAGCAGCGCAGGTATCGTGTAGATGAAGCTCAGCGGTCGCCAGTTGCCGACGAAGTACGCCATGGCTCCGGTCAGCGACACCGCCACGGCGTATGGCACGGCCGAGAACAGCCCGAACAGCGGCCTGGCTGTGGCCGTTGATACCTCCATGCCTGGGGCCATATACTTTCAAAACTCGCTTAGTGAACGTAAGTACTTACGCTCTATTTTCTTGTCTATGATTAGTGGATTTTGCTTGAAAGGCCGTCAATGATTGGCTGATGAACTTACGATTAATTAGGAAGTGACTGAATATAGTAACGTAGCAAAGTAAATATTTTAAAAAGAATGCATAATGTTAGAGAGCAAAAATAATGAAACGAAAATCAAATTCCTCCATTTATCTCATGAAGTAGGCTTAGTTTGACGATGAAAGAAAGAATTTTGATTGTCAAATAATTTTTTAAAATAATTTTTTGTATTCAGTATTAATTCATAAATAGAAGTACCGCTGGAGAGTTAAGAGTAGGAAACGGCCTTGAAAACTATCAAGTACGTTAATTCGATTCATTAGTAATTCATCGTCGGCTGGCATATGATTTATGCTTGGGTACAAGTTAGATAATCATTTTACAGTAAGAGAATATTTATTCCAGTCCAGAATTAATTATTAATTTTAATTTCCTGAAAACGACGTACGATGACTAACAAAATATTCAATGTCTGTCGTCAATGGAACATACATAACACCTAAGTGACCGGCAGGCGGCCGTAGCTACGCGGAGGTACGAAATGGACAAAATATCGATATGTAGCAATGAAATATGTTATGTTTAGTTTAATGTTGAGGAGCATTATTGTTCCTCTTTTCACGGGATTTTACGAGTTGAGTTGATATGCAGAGGTATGAAATAAACAATACATAGATATGTAGTAATGAAATATGTTATCTTTAGTTTAATGTTGAGGAGCATTATTGTTCCTCTTTTCACGGGATTTTACGAGTTGAGTTGATACGCAGAGGTACGAAATAGACAACATATCGATATGTATCAATCAGATATACTACTTAAGTTGATGCTGAAAGCACATTTCAACTTTGGTTAAACCATGTATGTTTTATTTATTTCATTACGATGAGCGTCGTTGTTTTTGAATGAAGAAAAAAAATTGCAATGAATATTTTTGGAGGCAGATCATGGAATGGAATCGTTGCTGTGGCTTCCCGCCTCTGCCACTCACTGCTCAGGCATCCAGCCTCCACAGATTGCTCCAAGCACTGCTCATAGCCTCTGCCACTCACTGCTCAGGCATCCAGCCTCCACAGGTTGCTCCAATCACTGCTCCTAGCCTCTGCCACTCACTGCTCAGGCATCCAGCCTCCACAGATTGCTCCAAGCACTGCTCATAGCCTCTGCCACTCACTGCTCAAGCATCCAGTCTCCACAGATTGCTCCAAGCACTGCTCCTAGCCTCTGCCACTCACTGCTCAAGCATCCAGCCTCCACAGATTGCTCCAAGCACTGCTCATAGCCTCTGCCACTCACTGCTCAGGCATCCAGCCTCCACAGATCGCTCCAAGCACTGCTCATAGCCTCTGCCACTCACTGCTCAAGCATCCAGTCTCCACAGATTACTCCAAGCACTGCTCCTAGCCTGTGCCACTCACTGCTCAGGCATCCAGCCTCCACAGGTTGCTCCAATCACTGCTCCTAGCCTCTGCCACTCACTGCTCAGGCATCCAGCCTCAACATATTGCTCCAAGCACTGCTCCTAGCCTCTGCCACTCACTGCTCAGGCATCCAGCCTCCACAGATCGCTCCAAGCACTGCTCCTAGCGTGTAGGCTGGTTGGTACATTGACTGGAGAACCGCCTTGGAGCACACCAGCTCCAGCTTAAAACCAGAAAATGTATTATTTGATCTGCAAATTATAGTTTTAATATCTGCAAATTATAGTTTTAATATCAATAAAACATCATTGAATCTTTTTATATTGTGAAATTCAAAATGTAATTAGAGGAAACTGACCGAAACAAACTTTATATATATTAGTCGCACGTATCTAACGATTATTCTCTTGCGCTATAGCATAGATAAGTATACGTGCAGCGTACAGTGGGTAGTGATGGTCACCTCAGAAGTGATGGTGTTGCCGTATGTTGAATTGTCAAAGGTAAAATGCTGGCATGGCCGCTCTGAGGTGAAGCTCTCATTTTGCACCAGTACCACGAAGCATTCGGTTCTGTCGGCGTGAGAGCATTACAATAACTGCATTTAACCATGATTAATAATCGACACGCTAATAATAATCTTCGCAAGGCGGTTCAGGAATAATGTAATTCATATTTATTAAAAATAAAACTGAGAATAGTTATCAGAGCCTGCTATAACAAGCGTGTTGCTAATTAAATTCCTATAACTAAATATTGTAATGTGAGACTATGCGAGGCCATCATTTTATAATAACGTTATTATCATCTTTTCTCACTGCGCTAAAACGCTCATTATTTACCGTCCACAAGAACAATTCCCAGTGAAAATTTGCAGACGCGTCAGCTTCTGATTTGGAGTAGCAGAAGCTGGGGCGACTCTAAATTTTGTTAGGGAAGCAAGTGTTCCTACAAAAAGTCCCTTATTTCTACGAGTTTAATGTAGGCACCCGCCAAGTTATTGAACAGGTGGCCTGCTGCTCACCCGTTAACAGGTGCGACGTCATCGTACAGATCGTCTGAGCAGGAGAAGGGAACTGCGGGAGCGGTGAATTCTGCTCCCATTAAATTCACGGCAATTGTCATCACAGCTGCGGATCAATACAATGACCGTTAACATTTCTGTATTAAAATTCAGCTCCCACCCAGGCTCATATATGTAACTATAAGAAAAATATAAGGGCATAGTTGCCCAATGGTTACAGTTCAGAGTACCAAATCTGGGCAAAGAGTTGAGGGTTCGATCCCAGCAACCTGCGACAATTCCAGTCGAAATCAGCGAGGTGGCCAGGCGGTTGCGCACAGTGGATACTAGAGGAGTGAGTTGAGTGTTCGAAACCGCAACAAGCCGTGAATTTTCGAAGGTAATCATAATCGACGACAGGTCAATCGAGGTAATTAACGCTGAAACCGTTTTACTATACCGCTGTACTAAATTAAACTAAATTATTCCAGCAGAAACCCATTAATTTAAAATTGCATACAGTCCATGGAATCGACAAATGAGTCGATTAATAAAAATGAGTCGATTATATAAAATGAGTTTTCAAGGAAATGCAGCATGATTGAATAGTTATTAGAGCAGCGTTATAAGATTAGTGAATATGTAAGAACAGGTTAAAATATCTAGCCTGCTTATATGCTCGGAACCAGTCTTGGCGTTCTTCATTTTCTTTAATGATTCCATTTACGTCAAAATTATCATAATGCAGAAAAAAAATATATATATATATATGTATAGATTATCCCTTACCATTACTTATTCCATTTCTTAAACTTAATCCGTTTTTACGAAATGAGCAAATTTTTTTCATTGACTTCCATAAAAATCAAATCAAATCTCAATACACATCATAGATTAAACGGCCAGGCTAGATTGACTTCCGACTTGTTGGAAATTTTATTTTATAATTGCACTTCCTTTGCTTCGAAGGTGCCAAAGAATTGACGAGAATATTGATTTAGATGCTCAAAAATCCTAAAAATTCGTGCATAGAAAAGTTTGCATCATGAATATCGATAATGATCATAACGCCATTAATAGACACTTTTAAGTTTACAGCTTCAACTGCAATCTGATGGCATTGATCACTTGAAGCTCGTTCTTTTCTTAGAATTTTCGTCTAAATTTTTGACTTGTCAGGGTACTCTTAAATGACATAATTTGTGATTAAGAAAAGTGATTACTGGCATCTCTACGGCGCCAATCCTTCGAACATCAAATAGAACTCCATGAACGTGGCACTTCAGACATAACTACATCAAATAGAACTCACTGAATGCGGCACTTCAGACATAACTACATCAAATAAAACTCCATGAACGTGGCACTTCAGATATAACTACATCAAATAGAACTCCATGAACGTAGCACTTCAGACATAACTACATCAAATAGAACTCTCTGAACGCGGCACTTCAGACATAACTACATCAAATAGAACTCACTGAACGCGGCACTTCTGGCATAACTACATCAAATAGAACTCTATGAACGCCGCACTTCTGGCATAACTACATCAAATAGAACGTAGCACTTCAGGCATAACTACATCAAATAGAACGTAGCAATTCAGACATAACTACATCAAATAGAACGTAGCACTTCAGGCATAACTACATCAAATAGAACTCACCGAACGTGGCACCTGCGTAGGCTCTGTATGTCCAGGGTCCGGTGCCCACCAGATCCAGTATGTCGTCCATATCTTTGATCACGTCACTCACATTGTTTTCTTCATTAATGTCGCCATTGTTATCTTTTCGATCGAGTTTGTCATCATCTTCTCCTCCCTTGACTTCGTTGTGGTCTGTATTATCTTTTGTCATGGCTGAGGGGTCACTATTTTCGTCTAGCTTAAAATTATGAATTATATTCACTGGATAATTTTTTGCTCGCAATGACGCATTTTCTTTTATTTCGGTCTCTCCTGATTGTGTCTTAAATGCTTTATCCTTCATGATTATTTTTATTTAAATATCGTTTTCCATGCCCAAGCGCAGGTTTTATGAATATTATTTTAATCCAGTTTCCTCGCCGACAGAAACGGCCCTGGATCATTTTCGAAATTGTAATATATTAGTTCAAAAATTTGTTCAGGACTGAACTGAATATATTGCAACTTATTACTGTAATTTGTAAATAGTATATCCATTTATCACGATTTTTTGCTGGTGCCGTTTTATTTATATTTTAATTATAACGAAAAAATTATAATTATTTTTATTTTATTTATATCGATTTTATTATTTAATTAATAATAATTAAATAATAAAATTAATAATAATTTTAATATATTTAATATATAATAATACTAATAATAGTTATAAAAATCTTGATAAGTACGATGTTAATAGCAGTGGTTATTATTGGTCTGATTGCTCGTTCTGTCATAACTATAAATCACGCCAGGAAAAAATGTTACAGAAACATTTGTGTTTATGAGATGACTAGTAAACTCAAACTAGCGTTAGTTTTTCGAAGATTTCCTCGGCGCGTTAGTGAAGAAAAAGAAACTTTTTACGCTCCATTAATGAAGTGTAATTAATTCCTTCTCAAAAACCGCAAAACGAGACAATTTCTTGAGAATTTGTAGTTGATGTAACATGCTTACATTGCCAGAAATCTTTCCATTAGCCCTAAGTATGAATCATTGATTTCTTCTTAGCCTGTCATGAGTAAGCAGCTATTTCTCGCCTATGTAATTAATAAAAACAATGAAGTTCAACTGCGTTATTGCAACATTTTCGCCCAAAGATTCGTTAGAAAACTGCAATGTAACGTAGGACTTAAGGAGAGCGTCTACCCTAAAAGTCGAAATTTTTGGCTTTTCCGGTTTTTATGCTCATCTTAAAGCTCATTTTCTGCCGCATCGAACGGTACTAGAACCATCTCTGTACGTTGATTCATTCGCTCAGGACAGATCCCGAAAGGGGGGAGGGTGGTGGGGTCCCTCCACAAAACCCTATGGAAGTAATTACGGCCAAGCCCGATAAATGTGCTGTTGCTGGAGCCAGAGCTCAGTTGCAATACAGATGTCATGCGGATAGGTGTTGCTAAAGTTGTCCTCTGCACTGCTGACTGACTTTGAAGTGAGCTAACGCTTATTCTCGGTATCTAGGCTACGTAACATGCCTTTATATAGCGCGCGGCGGTTTTTGGCCTCTACTGAACAATTTGAAAACGTGAAAACCTCTCTCACGCCAAGCCGATCTCCTCCTACAGTTTTTAAGCTACAACAATGAGACNAATAAAACAAATGATTGTACCATATTCAACAATCAAAATGCAAAACAGAATCACCCTACGGAAACACCAGACGGATTTCGGCAATTTCGTCCTCAATTCATTGATGACATCCTCATACCTACCAGCATTGTAATTGCCCCGGCTATAAAAAATGTAATACTCATGTTTATAACGTAGCTTGATGATTATCACTGCCGTGCCACTTGCGCTGCATTTGTACTTATCTCTACACGTTTGTGAGGAACTTAATATCACTCAGCCTTCATCACGAAGAGCCCTAAGGACAACTGAACATCTGATGCGATTGCAGTGAGATTAATAAATTATCTCCTCTTGTACGATTGCTTGAGATGCATTGACTTCATTAAGATTAAGACAGCCCGATAAGGCCCCCTTCAGGAGACAGTCTTCACTGAACAAAGAGCTAGTGTTGTGGGCCACAGCTGACTGGTCAATTTCTTTATTCTGAATTTCAGGCATAACATATCAATGCGGTCATTGAAATCCCAGCCAACAGTACATTAACAGATGTTTCATCACAAAATATTTCTAGGTGACGCCCAAAAAATCATTAGGTATTTTATATGGACTACACAAAACTTTACGGCGTATTTTCTCACAAACTAGAAACCACTAGGCATTTTTAATTAACACCCATATATAACACCACTAGCAATTTTCTACCTAGTTAATTCTACACCCATAAAACTGATAACACCTCTCGGCATTTGATAGATAACTCCCGTAACGCCATTAGGTATTTTGTAGGTAACATCTAGAATATCATTATGTATTTTCTAGTTAACGCCCAAAAAACCTGTAGGTATTTCTTATGTTATGTAACACTTAATACATGCCCCTCCATGTATTTCTAGGCAGCACGCCCCCAACTGACATGAGCAGGTCAGAGCGGGCAATAATAATAATAATAATAACGGTTTTAGCGTTTATTAGGCCGTAGACGTGTCGCCGATTCATAACATCGCAGAACATCTACAGCTTGATGTGATCTCGAACACGCAACTCACTGCTACAATTCTGCTGTGCTTAACCGCCCGGCCTCCTTGCCGATTCTGACCAGAAACTGTCGCACAGAGCTGGGATCGAACCCGCGCCTCTCTGCGCCAATCTTGGTACTCTGAACTTTAATCAATGGGCCACCCAGAATTGTCAGAAATATTTTTATGTTTGCGCAATGCTTCATCTGACGAAAAAATGCACTTGCGCATTACGACAATGACTTACTTCATCGTACGAATTTAACCATGATTTTTACAGGCACTCTACAAGCGCGAGTATATTTGGGTTGAATACTCATAAATAAGAGTGAAATCGCACTTATACCGTACGATCAAGGTCTGAATTCATACTGTCGGTTTCTTGCACGAAAACCACGCCTTTGTGCATTGGTGGAACATCCTTTATTGTTGGAAACGAGAAAAAGCGGTGAAATGCAGGCGGTGAATTAAGAATTTGTTCGAGTTTATGAGAACTGGATAAATGAAGATAAATGGTGATAGTTACACGAGGAATGTGCAGTTTGAATGGAATAATAATATGCCCTAGCTGCTAAAGTTCAAATAACTTATACAATGAAATTATTCAATGAAAATTATGCATTATTCTATAATGCATAATTATTCTATATTATCCTCTCAAAGGTTGTATATTATCCTCCTTATCCTCAACAAGGTCTAAATAGCGATGCACATTTTCTCCTTATGTGTGTCATATTGACCTAGTCTGCCCGGGCAAAAAGGTGTATCAGTGATACGTGCAAAAGGTGTGTCACAATCAGACAGTGTAACCAATTCATTTACTCTGAGTGTATATAGGATGAAAGCGTGTCACCGATAATTATTTGAAGACTTGAAACTAACAGTTGCGCACGACAGTTATTTCAACATTTATAGATGAAACTTTTGTACGACAATCATTCCAAAACTTAAAAATAATTATAGGATGTCACATAGGATATAACACTCATGCACGACACTTATTTCAACACAGATAAATAAAAGTAGTGTAGGAATGATTGTTCTTAATGCGTTGATTATTGCGGTAGGAGTTCGCCTTACTCATGGGTTATTTGCGTTGTCTGCAACGCGGGACTCAGGAGTGCAGTGTGAATTTATTGAGATCGAAGCTCAATGCACGCCAGATTTGTAACAAGAATTGACATACTTAGTACATGAGCCAGATTTGGATCATCCATAAGCGAGCTGAGTCAACCACACGTGAGCTGAGTTAGCTACGAGTGAGCTGAGTTAGCTACAAGTGAGCTGAGCTAGCCACAAGTGAGCTGAGTTAGCAACAATTAAAAAAATAAATAAACTCCTTAAGCCTCTCACAAAAGTAAACTAAACAACTTTCAAACATTTAATATTTGAACAACATAGCAGCAATTACAGGACTTAATCCATCAGAGGGCAGGGTTTGTTCACGTCGCACCTGCGGAAGATGCTGTCTTGTCGGTCCTTGGCTTCTTGCTGCAGACTCTGGAGGCGCACCGTGGTCTGCTGCAGCGTCTGCAGCTCCTGCGTCAGGTCGTTCAGCTGCGACACCAACGCTCTCTGCAGGTCAAAGAGCACGCGCACTCTGCTCAAACAAAGACCACGTGTGACCCATCAAATGTTCTGCAGGTCAAAGAGCGCGCGCACTCTGCTCAAACAAAGACCACGTGTGACCCATCAAANCTGTCTCTTATACACATCTAGATGTGTATAAGAGACAGGGCCCTCATTATCAAGAGCGAGTCTCCGGCTATCAACCTCCAAACTACTGGATTCGTCCGGACGCTGAAATTATTTTCGGAGTAATTTTTAAGCTAATATTTCGTATTGTATCCACTTTACCTTTGATATGTACTTCTGTCATCGAACAAGAATTCGGGTACAAGAAATCGAAGCTCGGAAGCATGACCTGCTTCCGAACTTCGATTACTTGTTCCCGAAGCGACTTTCTATTAATGCGGGCAGCTCTGATGTTATTTCGAACAGGCGGCATTATGATGTACGTTCGATCGCTCCTTCTGCAGTTTCAAAAATTTCGATGCGAGTTGAATTTTTCAGTGGAGTCGCCTTTAATTATGGTCATTCCATATGTATATCATGGCTACCGATCAAACAATTCTGAGATTTAGAACAGAAAAAAATGTCGAAGTCAATTTGAATTTGTTTTCCACATGATTGCTTATTGGAACCTACTAGCAGCTTTTCAGATTTTGACTCGGCGTCTTTCTATAATATACATAAAATGAGAACTGAAATATTAAACGGCCGTAATTAAAGTGTTTTAGTGCAAGCAAATACCAATAACGAGTGTGACTGCATGGTCTCGCGATGTTCTTTGATGACTCGGCCCCAGTTGCTGGCCGTTCTTTCCTGCCTACATAATTCACACTACTGCACTCTTTTGCCCTTATAATTTTTTTTCATTTAGCGTCATTGCCAAATTGCAAAGCAGCTGCAATTTGGTTGCTAGCATTCAAATTGCAGCTAGTTGTTAGCAACAACACCCCAAGGCACTCGCATCGCGCATACATATAATCAAGTAATCCGACACTAATATTTTATTTTCTCATGATATTCGAGGTGCCTTTCGAGTTCCGAGATTCGAGTAGCGTACATGCACCAAGTCACACACAATGCATCTCTTCAATGTGATGCACTGGTAAATAAATTTACATAAATGAAGGAGGGAACTTTTTGGTACTCAAATCCATTGTGCAGTCAATAAATTCTTCAAATTGCCGTTAATTATCTACCTTTATCAGTTGATTCTTCAATTCTTTCGAGAGAGACTTCTAACGCGTGTCGAGGGCTTGTCAGCAGTCTTATGCATGGACTTCGCGTTCATGAGAACATT